ATTTGCCTGTCTAGTTACCAAACTCAAAGTCATTTTTGCAGAGGTTATGAAGCCAGAAGGAGCCAATGGGTTTCAGAAAGCCAGCTTTCATAACAAGCACTCTTAAGCCATGAAGGCCCACAGACATGTGATGAATCTAGACTCCCCTCCCATGTAGAAGGCCATCTTTTGCATGGGAAGCAAGTGCAAGACTGAACAAAGTGTTGGGCTTGAAACAAGTGCCATGAAAATCTAGAGAGAAGAGATTATAAAGGAAAAGAAGATAATACACATTGTAAAATGCTGCAGAAATGTCAGGAAGGATAAAAATTGAGAAAAAGCCTTTTGATTTGGCAATTAAGAGATCAGGAACTTCAGAAAAAAGCAGTTTCAGTTGAACGATGAGATCAGAAACCAGATTGTAGATGGTTAAGAAGAGAGTGAATGGAAAGGAAGCAAGGCACATATTATTGATGGCCCCCTCAAGGAGTTTAGCCATAAAGGGGAAGAGAAATTGGGGATGCTGCTAGCAGGAATGGATGGTTTAAGTGAGGGTTTTTTCATGATAGCATGAGTGTGTTTGTAAATTTGCAGGAAAACAACCAGTAGATAGAGAGTGATTGAAGTAAAAACTGGTATAAGATAGAAGTCCCTCTACTGGAGAAGATGGGTTGGAATGGAATTACTTGTGCATGTGGAGGAGTTTGCCTTGTAAAGAAGTGCCATCTCTTGATGTGAAACAGAGGTGAAGGAGGAGAGAGTGGCAGAAGGAATCCAGAGGGAGGAGGGAGCTCCTGGTAAATGGCCTCAGTTTTTTCTGTAAAATATGAGGGAAGATTCTGTAAGGAAGGTGAATTTTAGTGTGTGTGTAAAGTGGATTTTTTGTTATTCTTTCTTAGGGTTTTCTTCCCAGGATCCATAGCCATAACAATCTCTACTTCCCAGGTGTTAGATATGAGTTCTTACAATGATGGTTCAAAACAGTTTCTGCCATGCTTGCACAGCAGATATAGGGTTTGAGTGATGTAAAATTGTGAGGCTATTGCTGGCAATGTGCCTTCTTTGTCTGTTGCCCTATAAAGCGAGTGGGCACTAGTCAGTGACTGGTGACCTCCATAGGGGCGAATGTGCAGGCTGGAATGCTGTGCGTGCCCTGATCGGCCCCCACCAAGACTTGAGAGGTGGAATCTGTGTGTTTGCCTCAACCAGCCCCCATTGATGCTTAAGGGGATTTAGGGGAGTGCACAAGTTGTGCTGGTCTCAATTGACCCCATCAAGACAAGGAATAGTTGCCCCTCCTTCACGCTGGCCCCTGCAAGAAGGGTTGTTAGGGAATGCTGTAGGAGTTGGTGCCCATTATCAGCAAACTCCCTTTGAGAAGACTAGACTAGAATAAAGTAAGCTTATTTAACCCCTTATTATGACTCCATTCCTGTCTTCCCGTCTGACCAGATCAAAAGTGGACCTGCTAGTGAGAGAGCTGCTAGAAGCCCTCCTGTGTCTATGTGTTTACTTGTCCAACAGATTCGTAGCTGAGAGAATGGGGGAGGGAGGGGCAGTCATGGAAGTTTTGAGGAGGGGTAAAAATAAGTTTGGAAGAGCCACTGTTGTGAGAAGCATAGTGAGTCAAACAGAGACATATAAAAGAATTGTCCACACAAGAGGTGTATGTCAGTCTCTTCAGGAGAAATAAAAGAATTGGGAGGGCTACCTCAAATATATTGAATTTCCCATCACAAATATGCCAGTGAGTGAGTCAATGAGAGGTTCTACTTAATCCAGAATGAATATTATTTCTTTGAAAGATAAGGAACTGGTAAGAGCAGCCCTAATGTATTGATTTAAGATCAATCCTACTGACTGATTTATAGGGGAGGGCATGATGGTATCAAGAGTAATGTGAATGTGTATCTATAATCTAAGTTTGATAAACTGTTTTGCAAACATCACATCAATTGTTAAATTGAACTGTTTCTGGAAATTGAAATTCCTCTGGTATATTCTTGAATCCACTAATGAAGGTATTAAATGAAAATTCGAGAGTCTGCTTGTCAAGTCAAGAAGTACAGGTATTGGCAATATGATCATGGTACAAATATTGACAGGTGGTGCATTTATGCTGAAGTGCTATAGATGAGACTTGGTCATTCTAGGATACTGCCATGCCAGTGAGAGGGCAGTATTTGGGCAGTGTACCCAGAGGACTAACTAAGACCAGGATTCTAATTAGGCAGAAGAGGTTAGTCAAATACCAAAAGTATAGTAATTCAAGTTTCTAAGAAATGAGGTATGGCTATGATGAATCAAGTGGTTATCATAGATTTAGAGTAACAAGCAGTCAAACCTAGGGAAATTAATTAAAGCGATAAGGATCGAGTAAGCAACACAGATCTAACTAGATAGCTTAGATACCAGGGGATTAGTAAATAAGCTAGACTTGTACTAGTAAGCAGGGAATAGAGTCAGCTTTTATCCAAGGGTAGAGACTGTTGGCACTCTTCCCTCTTTTATATTTTCTATTGTGGGGTTGGGGTGGGAAGAGATGGACCAGGGACACAGGCGTGTAAGTTTTAAGTCACAGGGCTATAGGGTCCCACAGGTGCAGCTTACTAGCAATCAAAACAGGGAAAGGGAGAAGGGAATGAAAGGGGTGGCAAGGATCTGAAAAAGAGAAGGCTGAGCAAGAAAGTCAAGATCAGTCCCTGGTAAGGTGATTGCCTAAGAAGAAAGAACTCAGCAACCAGAACAGAAGGCAAACACAAAAGAGAAAAGTTTTAACGACAAGCAAGCTTGGGTCTGAATAAATATCTCTCCCTCTCTTCCTCTCTCCCCCTCTCCTGTTCTCCTGCTCTCCCCCTCTCCATCTCTTCCTCATCCCTCTTTTGGGGGGTCAGCAGCTTTCAGCTGGGAAGAGAAGGAACTTCATCTAGTCCAGTATGAAGCCTTTGGAACCTTTAAAATGTCAGAATGGTGGTGATCTGTTTTTAGAGGGCACAGCTTGAATGCTTTGATTAATAAAGTTTGATTGCATACATTGAAAGTGTAAATCTAGGGTTTCTGTTGCACTAAATCAGCATATGTACTGAGAAATCTGAGATACTTGCATAAATTACATTTTGCTGCTATTGTCCCTGAACCTGCGTGGGTAGTTGCTAGCTTGCTGCTTGTGTATCCTGTAAGAGGAAGACTTTAACTCTCTTTTGAGATGTTACAAGGCCCATATGAGATACAGGTTCATCCCAGGCCCAGGCCCAGGCCTGCCTAGAAGGCTCTTGACTGAGAACTTGGCTTCAGCTCACCTTATAGAGCTCAGAGACTTTTCTTTATATGTCCAGGCTGACAGCAATAGACGCAACTTGATAGTCCTGGATAGTGTCTTCAGCATAAAGATGGAATTTAGGTCCAGCAGAAAATTAATAGTTATCATGGCCTATATCAGAGGTGTCAAACTTGAGGTCTACAAAACTCCACAGTGCTGCCTAGTCAGATTAAAATGTAACTGGAAAATATTTAACAAAATCAATATTAATACAACATAAATGATGATTATTTGTGATTTTCTAAGTCAATATGCAAATATGCAAGCAACCATTTCTATTTGAGTTTTGACACCACAAATAAGCCAAAGGCTATCTATCTATCTAACCTACCTTGAAATGGGGGAGGGAGACAGGACCCCTCCATCAGGAACTCCAAAGCTATACATATTTTATCATGTACGTTTATCTTTTGTCCTTTCCATCATGCAAGCTCCTTGAAGGTAGGTCCTATTTTTGTCTTGGAATTTCAGCGTTTCATTTTTAAATATTCATATTTATTTTATTCTGAACTTAAGAAATAACACAAGCATTTCCATAACATAGTAGAATAGGAAAAAAAGATGATTGCACATGAAACTGCAAATCTATTATGTACAACTTGCTATTCCTTTTAAACATATAATAAAGTTATGAATATTTTAAAAATTGTTGACTACTATATGTAAAGCACTTTGCCTTCTATAGGAAATATTAACTATTAGTAATAGTAACCATTGCTATTCTTTTACAGAAGAGGACACTAGTGAGGCTTAAAAAGTTTAATTGATTTTATAGGCAGCAAACAGCAGAATTGAGTACCTAATCCAGGGTTTCTTAACCTGAGTTCCATGGAATTTTTTTTCTCTTTTTTAATATATTTAAAACTATCTCAATATAACTCAATATAAACTCAATAGGTTTTTTTAACCTTACATATTGTATTTAATGCTTTTAATAACATTATTCCCTGAAGGGGTCTATTAGACTACCAGAGTGCCAAAAGGCAAGGGTGTGCTGATAAATGTTTAACAACTGGTTCTCAGGGGTTAAAAAAATGTACAAATACTTTTAAATATAACCTGCATTAATATTTCTCCATTGCTTTGTTAAGTCTAGATCATCAACAAAATAAAACAAACCCCATCAACCTTTGCTGATTTCCAAGGTGTAAATGTTCACACTGAAAAATTTAGCAATAGGCCAGCACATCAGGGGTCCATGACCCCTAAAAAAGTTAAGAGTTTTGGAATTCTAATCTCTCTCCATTTCCTTCTCTCTCTCCCTTCTCCCTCTTTCCCCTTCCCTTCTTTCTCCTCATCTCCTCCTCCCTCTCCATCTTCAGCTCCTCTCTCTCTCCATCTCTCCCTCTTTCTGCCTCTCCCTCTCCTTTTCCCCCCTCTCTACTTCTCCCCTTCTCCATCTCCCTCACCCCACTTCTCCCTTCTCCTCCTCCCCTTTCTCCACCCTTTTTTCCCCTCTCCCTCTCCCCCCAAATCCCTCTCCTCCCCTCTTCTCTCCCCAACTTCCCCTCAGTCTCTTCCATCCCCATTCCCCTTCTCCTTTCTTGTCCCCTTCTTCTTCCTCTTCTCCTTCTTAAATAGAACTATCCTTGGGCCCACAGTCCCTGAATGACATCAGAGGCCTAGAAATAGGCAGGCGCAGGGAGCAGCTCTGTCTCCCAGCAAGCTCCACCTCACTCAGGCCAGTAGCCAAGCTGACCAGGAAGTGGGAAGCCAACTAGGGAGACTCAGACACACCCCCTACTGCTGTATAAGTCTCTAGGCTCGCTTTTTCCTCCTTGTCACTTCTCGGAAGCCGTCTCCTTTCTACTTGTGATCCCGGAGCTGAAGCAGAAGGAAGGGAGTGTGAGTTTTCTCTTTTCTCAGGGTCTTGGACAGAAGGATCCTCCCCTTCCTGGCCCCTCCAAAGGTAAGCAATCTGGTTTTCTAGTCTGGGTGCATGAGACAAGACATGAGCCAGTAACGATGCACTGTGGGCTTGCAAATGGGGTAAGTATATAAATGAATAATCTCTGCATCTCCAAAGTGACAAAGGAGTTCTACTCATTGATCTTGGGACTTGTCTGTGTCTCTTTATATTTCCCCTCAGCTCTAAGGGTCTCTGTTTGACTTCTACTAATTGTTTACTGCCCCCTTCAGAGTCTGAAACACATCCCCTTTCCAGAGCAGCATCAGAGAATCATTTTGTCACTCAGCTAGTTCAAAGGCAAGTCTCAGAATCCTGGGCTGGGGAACACCCACAGACTATTAGAGGATTTAGAATCAGAGAAAATGTATTCACATGCCTCTGACACACTCCTGTGTGACCCTGGGAAATTCCCTTTCTTATCTGTAAAAAGGAAGGTGTGAGATTAAATGATGTCTAAAGTTCCTTCTAGCCCTGGAGGTTTACAATCCTGGAGAAACAACCAGAGTGTGGTGGGCCAGGACTCAGAAGAACAAGGCTACTCAGGTCAGCCACACCTTCCTGCGAGGTCTGGGCAAATCAGTTCTTCTCATCCTCCATTCATCATCTGTAAAACGGACCCAAGTCTAGGGGAAGGGGGTACAGATGGATTCAATGATCTCTTAAGAATTCTTCCAGCAGACTATTGATCTCAGCATCGTCTCAGGGGTAGGAGAACCAGGGGGAGTAATGTCCTGGAAAGAGGAAGCATGAAGGAGTCCATGGTGAAAAGTAGCAGAGGTTACAGAGAGGTCAGGGTGAGAAAAGACAGAAGATTTGGAAATTAGGAGGTCAGTGATACCCGTAGAGAACAGTTTCAGAACAGCAGGTAGGACAGAAGATAGATTGAGGGGAGTTAAGGAGAGAGTAAGTATGGAGTGGAAGGTAATATGATGTGCACATCTCCAATGCCTGTGGGGAAGTGAGTCTGGCATAGCTTGGTTATTTCTAATCTTCCTTTTCCTGGAATCCTACCAGGGAGTTTCCAGTACAGTTTAGATTCTGCCTGGGGTGATAACTGTGGGAAGCCTCTCTGAGCTGATTGTCCTTTCCTTTATACCCAAAGCTTCTCTGGAGGACCCTGCATAGAGCCTTGTTCAAGAGTCTGGAAGATCTGAGTTCAAATTTAGCCTCAGACACTTACTAGCGGTATTTTCCTGGATTAGTCACATAACCTCTGTTTGCCTCAACTTCCTCAACTGTAAAATGAGAATAATAATAGTACCTCCCTCCCAGGGTTGTTGTAAGGATCAAGTTAACTATTTGTAAAGCTCTTAGCATGGTGCTTGGTACCTGATAGGCACTTGATAAATTCTTGTTCCCTTCCCTCTCCTTCTTCATGGAAGAGGATGATCTGTGTTTGACCGAGTGTGACTATACACTTATAAGGACGTGGATAAAATTCATTCTCCTTGGTGTCAACTACTGCCTTCCCTGGTGACTATGACTGAGCTCCCTCCCTTCAGTTTTCTCACTTGTAGAATGGGGAGGAATCCCCTGGTCAGAGGAGAAACGAATTACTGTCTATAAATCCCTCTGAAGCCTACAAATGAACCTGTGCAAACCAAAGAGCTGCTGCTGTTGCTGTCATTCTTCTCCAGTATTTTTAGGGGGAAGAGGACCAGTGGACTAATGTTTTCTGATTTTCAAAAAAAAAAAGGGAGGGGGTGAAGTGAATGGAATTTGCATACTGTGTGGGCTAATGAGCTTTCTGTAATTCCTAGCCAAAATCTAGCAGGTTTCGTTAAAAGGATCATTAGTGAATGTCCAGAAAATTAAATGGTGGACATCTAGAAGTGGAAGTGATGACCAGAATGAGCCAGCATGGCTTGATCAAGAACAGATTATGTCAAATTAACCTCATTTCCTTTATTGACAGGGTTAGTAGGCTGATACATTAACAAGGAATTCTAGGAGCAGAAGGATAGAAGCATTTATTAAGCACCTACTATGTGCCAGATTCTGTGGAGGGAGGGGCAGGATTAGGGCTGTATCACCAATCTGAAATTTTGTTTCTCTCCCTACAGCAGGCAAAAAAAAAGGCATCATGACGTCTCCATCAGATGATATCGAGGTCCTGGTGAAAGGGCTGAACCGTTGGAATCTCCCCAGTGGCCCTATGCCTTGTGAACTGCTGCTGGTGGGTGAAGCTGCCTTCCCAGTACTGGTGAATAAGAATGGCCAGGTCCTTATTGCTGCCTCGCATTATGGCCAGGGCCAGATGGTAGTCATGTCCCATGAAGGCTACCTGCAAGATAGCATGTTGGCTCAGTTTCTTTGCAATGCTGTGGGCTGGCTCAGCCTCAGCCCAGGAACTGCTGTTGGAGTGCACACATCTGTGGAACCTCTCACTGGCATTCTCCATGACTCTGGGATGGAGGTGCAGACCATGGATGGCCTTCAGAAATCCCTAGGAATTTACTGCAGCAATGCCTGTAACAGTTCCTTGGCCAAAGAGATGATTCCATTTGTGAAAAATGGTGGGGGCTTACTCATTGGGGGCCAAGCTAGGTATTGGGCCAGTCAACATGGACGTGACAAGGTTTTGTCCAGCTTCCCTGGAAATCAGGTGATCGGTGTAGCCGGGGTGTACTTCACAGATACCTGTGGAGGTACAGATTTCCTCAAGGTCTCTAAGAAAGTACCTAAATTCCACTTACAGTCCGTGAGTATCAGGGGTATAGTAAGGATTATATTAAGAAGCAGACATAGTCCCCTTAATGAAACAGAACTAGAACCACACATTTTGAGAAGAATAAGTCTCATTTATACTGTCAGGTCACAGGGATGCTGTGGACAGAAACAACTATTGGAAGTCCATCATCAGTATTTGGTTAGAGGGGGAGCCATGGGATCATTGCCATATGAATATCAGTGTCCATTTTGGAACAAGAACAGAGAAGGATTGAATAGAGAGACAAATAAGGACATAGTAGTTGTGTTCTTGATGAATTTAACTCACTAGGTTCAGATGAACTTTACATCTAGGTACTGAAAATACAAGCAGATATGATTATTGAGCTATTGACAAGGATCTTTGAATAAAAGAATGGGGAGAATGGCAGGGAGTCCTGTAGGATATGAAAAGGACTAATGCTATTTTGATGTTGAAAAAAGGGAAGAGTGTGGAGTTTACATACTATATAGGCCAAGGAGCTTGATTTGAATTCCTAGCCAAATTCTAGATTTTTTTTTTTGGCAGTTGGGGTAAAGTGACTTGCCAAGGGTCACACAACTAGTAAGTGTCAAGTGTTTGGTCTGAGGCCGAATTGGACTCGGGTCCTCCTGACTTCAGGGCCAGTACTCTATCCACTGCACCACCTAACTGCCCCTCTAAACTATCTTTTTGACAGGATGGATAGTATATGTTCACAAAGTTAAATGGTGAATATCTAGAAATAATATTGATAATTTTAAAGAGCTAGTATGACTTTATCAAGAACAGATTATGCAAGATTAACCTTATTTCCTTTTTTGATAGGATTAGTAGACTGGTAAATCAACAAGGTATCCTAGGAGCAGATGGAACAAGTATTTATTAAGTGCCTACTAAGTACTAGGTACTTTGTTAAGTCCTTTACAGATATTATCTCATTTAATCTTCACAACAACCACAGGAGGTAGGTGCTATTATTATCCCCATTTTATAGATGATGAAACTGTGGCAGACAGAGGTTTGGTCACTTGCCCAGGGTCTCATAACTACCAAGTGTCAGAGGTTAGATTTGAATTCATATCTTCCTTTTCCATGCACAATATCAGTACTCTATCTACTGTACCTCTTAGCTGCATCTAGGGATAGAATATATGTAGACATTAGCAAAATATTTCACAAATGTTGTGCTCTCCTTGTAGACAAGACAAAAAGGTGTGGGTTCAGAACTGGTCCAAATTGTCAGATCTGAGGAGTGGTGATTAATGGTTTCTTGTTAGAAGGTATTTTCTGGTTGTTGTGTTCTATAGATCTGTGCCTAGCTGTGTGCTGCTCAATATTTAATCATGGGCTTGGATAGAAGCATAGATGGCATGCATGTCAAAATCAGGATCCAAAAAGATATCAACAGGCTAGAATGTTGGGCTGAATCCAAGAAGATGGAAATTATTCTGGATAAATGCAAAGTCTTTTACCTGGGACTAAAAATCAACTTAAAAACTGCAGAATCCAACAGATTTGTCTAGATAGCTCTTCAGCAAAACATCTTTTGGGTTTTAATGGGTTGCAAGCTCCATATGAGTCAACAGTGTTGTGGCAAACAAAGAAAAAAAAAAAACTAAGTCCATCTTGGACTTCATTAAGAGATGCTTAGGCTCCATAGAGATGAAGTGTTACAGTGCTATGCTCCTTCTCTACTCTGACATGGTCAGACTGTGTCTGGGTTTTATGTGATTCTGGAAATTGTTCTGTGCAGGTCAAGGCAGACATTGACCCTGACAAGATGCTAACTTCCCTGGGAAGCAGGGAACAGACATTACTGGAATCTACTTCAGGAATACAAACAGGTTTACAGACCTCCTCAAGGTCACTGGGAAGTACTCATAGGAAAGGGTCCAAGCTGAAGGTGTGACAGACATAGGAAATGATGCTCCCTACTACAAAGAGCCAGTTAGAACTGAGATACTGGAAACTAAGAGGCCAGAAGGGTGAGAGTACTAACATAAACAGTTATTATTCCAAGGGCTTGGATATGAGATTTGTTTATCAGGCAGCTAAATGGTACAGTTGGTAGGATACTGGACTTAGAGTCAGGAATACCTGAGTTCAAATTGAGGAAAATCAATATTAACACTGTATTATTTGGTTATTAATATTAATATTTGATATACACTTTTCTGACAAAAGCTCCATCTTTTAGCCTTGGTCAAGAGACCTATCCCAAACTGGTTGAGGAATATAATTAACTCCAGGCCCCAAAGCATCTACCTGAAGGGACCCTTGGTTTTGTTTACCCTGTAAACAGAAGCTAGTATGAGCTAGGTCTTCCCCCAGGAACATGGTCCTCTTTCCTAGCTTTTCCTCTCATTTAGTTGGGGGCGACCTGCTCTGCCCAGGAGGATACCAAGCCAGTGAAGACCCAATAGAGATGGCCTATGTTTTTCTGGCCAAGAATTGCTGGAGGTAACTGTCTCTCGTGGAACACCTGGCATTCACTGAGGGTCAGAGAGGGGAGTGATCAGCCATACCTGAAGGCCAACATACTCCAATCAGGTTCAGGGGAACTCCAATGACATACTGTCAGAAAGAAGACACCTAGAATTAAAGGTTCAGATGTTTATTGGCTATGTCACTCCTGCCAAGTCATTTAATCTCTGTCTACCTCAGTTTCCTCATCTGTAAAATTGGGTGTGGGAATCTGATGTCAGAATAGGCCATCTCCTAAAGTATCTTTTAGGACTGGGAGGAAGGAAGAGTGTTACTCAGAAGCAGAATGGATTAAATCAAATTTCTGTCTCTGATTTTACTTCTAGAAGGATGGGTATACCTGTACTGCTCTTTAAATTGTTTTGCAGCTAAAAGACAGTCAGAAGAGAGATTGGCTGGTACTTCATTTACAATTAGTCATTTTGTGCCCCTAAGGCAATCCTGGGACACACCCTAATGTCATTGGAATTCTAAATTGAGATGATCACTACTGACTTTACCTTAACTACACTTGAGCTCTCTGTCTTTAGGCAGTTTTCTATTAACAATCTAGTTTCATCACTAAATCATGTAAGTTTTATTATTTTTTTTAATTATTTCCACAACTGATTAGAAGCTCACTTGTTCTAGGTTGATTCTGTGGCAGGGGAGTGACATTTTCTTGATCCTCTGTCCAAATCCATTTTCTTGTTAGTTTTCTAAAAGAGTCATATGCTGCCAACCAAACCCTCAAACTGCCTAATCCCAAGTAAATCTCACCATCCAAACTGGCTGTCACTGTTCCCCAGTTGAGCAATGCTGGAAGTTGAAATCATGCTGATTGGGTCCACTATAAATATATCCTATCAGACCTACTAAATGCACTGAGCTGATGGTGGTTTGTCAGGGCCTAGCCCCCATGGAGCTCTTACTGCTGCCTAACTCCTGTTGTATTCCTTAAGCAGGTAGTGAAAAATCATAGAGTCATAGATTTAGAGCTAGAAGAGACCTTCAGAAGTCATCTAGTTCAACCCCCTCATTTTACAGAGGAGGAAGCTGGGACCCAAGATAGTTAAGTGACTTGCTTGAAGCCCCTCAGGCAGAGCAAGTAGCAGAGTCAAGATTCAAACTCACATCTCCCAACTTCAAATCCAGCGCCCTTGCCACTGTGCCAAAACATTTTTCAATCCCCCTGACTCCAGTCTTTTACCTCCCAACCTCTTACTGTCAGAAAAGGATCTCCTCCACTTTGGTGAGTTCCCCTGATTAACCCACTGACCTTTGATCACTTCTTAACTCTCTGGATGCTCTGTCCTTAAACCCTCATTTCGTGCGAGATGGGCATAAGCCACATCATATCAGGAATTAGTTCTGGGAAAATATGATTTTACTTGAAACAGCATTGTAAAGGTCATTTATTTCTGTAGCAATGTTATAAATGAAAGCTTCTTGCCTGGGCAGTTCAAATATGGTCTTTAAAGCTTAAAATGTGTCATTTTAGGGATTTGAGACAAGTACAGGTTTAGGCTGGGCTGGGTAGGTTGACCTGAGGTGTGGAGACATGATCCTTCAAGCCTTAAGACAGACTTCTGCTCATTTGTGTGGGTGGCAACTATCAAAATGGGTAGGGGAAAGAACAGTGTTTGGGAAGAGGTATTAGTTGGCCAAAAGATAAGAAAAAAAATTCATTGGCATCCTAAAATTGATGGAAAAAAGGAGATTTATTCTTCTCCTCACAGCCTCTGATCTTGAGTATAAGATCTAGAAACTCACATATGAGGTGGAACATTCTAACAAACAATAGCCTCTCTTGTCTGTAACTGATAAATTTACAGTGCATTTCCTCAGAACAGAAACAAGGAAACATGTTTAGCTCTTGCACAACATGTGAAAAGGGGAGGATGGTTTATTAGAGCTAGAACCTGGGGATTCTGGAGCCAAAGTATCCTTAGCCCTTTTTCTACAGATTAAAAGTGCAAGGTAATCAGTTGGACACTGACATGGAAATTGTAGAAGTTGGACTAAAAATTTAATAATCACTAGATTTTTTCTTTCTTTTTTTCCTTGGATTCAAGAAGCAGCTAGTTGTACTCAAACTTACTGCTTCTTTAACTGTGGTTAGAGCTGCTACTGAGAAAGGCAAAGCTCTCCTAACTGAACTCTCTATATAAAGTATTTAGCAATGCTAGGATGTTTGATAATTCAAGAGGAGGAAGGAAATAAACATTTATTAAGTACCTACTGTCTGCAAGAAACTGTGCTAAGTGCTTTACAAATATTATCTAATATGGTCCTTACAGCAACCCTGGGAAGTAAATACTCTTTTTATCCTCATCTTACAAATGAGGACACTGAGGCAGAGATTAAATGACTTGCCCATAGTCACTCAGCTAGTAAACAGGTGAGGCTAGATTGGAACTCACATCTTCCTGACTCTAAGCCCAGTGCTCTATCCATCCATCCAAAATAAATGTAAGAGATAACATCCTATGCTATACCATGCACTTCACTGATACTAGCAGTTTTCCAGGATTCCTCAAAACTGATGTAGGACCCAGGCCAATCTCTAATTCTTATTCCATGCCTAACTTCGCTGCTCCTGGGGAGTCTGAAACTGGAGAATCACTTGGACTCTAGAGTTCTGACCTTCAATAGGGAAAAAGTCAATCTTGTATTCACACTATCACACATCAGTATGGTGAGACCTCAGGAACAAGAGGACCCCTAAACTGATGAAGAAAAAACAAACCAACCCAGGTGGAAGAAACAAAGCAGGTTAAAGCTTCCATGCCAATTAGTGTTGAGATTGGGC